TACAGTGCGCCCTGGTGTTTAAGAGCCAGCCAGCAAGTTTCCAGTCCGACGAGGCCAAGGTTTGTTACATCGCTGGGCTGCTCCGCGACCGGGCTCTCTCCTGGTATGCGGCGGTCAGCGACGGCCAGCCTCACGTCCTCTCCTCCTACTCCTCCTTCGTGGAGGAGATGCGGAGAGTTTTCGATCGCCCTGTGCGGGGGAGGGAGGCGCCTAGGCGGCTTCTCTCCCTCCGCCAGAACAATCGCAGTGTGGCGGAGTATTCTGTCGATTTCCGCATTCTGGCGGCCAAGTCGGGCTGGAACAGCGAGGCCCTCCGGTGCGTCTTCCTGGATGGCCTCAGCGATCGTATTAAGGATCTACTGGCCACTAGGGGCGTGCCGGCGGACCTTGATTCTCTGGTCGAGGTGGCCACCGATCTGGATAACCGCTTGCGGGAAAGGGCCAGGGACCATCTCGCTCGCGGGTCTGCCACCTCCCGCTCTGGCCTCACACCACCCCGGGCCTCTGTTTTGCCATCCCCCGCGCCACACCCTGCTCCACCGCCAGGCCCCACGGCACTGCCAGCGCCGCCTTTGCCTTCCCCCGACGCTCCTCCCGAGTCCACACAGTTCGGTCGCGCTCGCCTCTCCCCGGAGGAACGTGAACGGTGCCGTCTGGCCGGTGAGTGTAGATATTGCGGCAAGCACGGCCACCTCCTGCCTGCCTGCCCCGTGCGGCCAAAAGATTCGGCTCGTCAGTAGTTTTGGGGCTACTGACGAGCCGAAACTCTTCACCCCATCTCCGCTCCCCACTCAACGCCACAGTCACGTGGGGAGACGTAGTTCTCTCCCTCGGGGCCCTTATAGACTCTGGCGCTGATGAAAATTTCCTAGATATCGGGGTTGCCCACCAGCTTTCCGTTCCCCAGATCCCCCTTGACGCTCCCCTCCGTGCTACAGGTCTCACTGGCCAGCCCCTCACCACCGTCACCCATCGTACCCCGCCGCTTCTACTCATCACCTCTGGAAACCACCATGAGTCCCTCTCCTTTCACCTTATCTCCTCCCCGTCCGCACCCCTAGTCCTCGGTCTCCCCTGGCTTGTTGCTCACAACCCCAACGTCGACTGGTCGCGGGGGAAGATCAGGAATTGGAGCTCCAACTGTCACGCGTCCTGCCTTTTGTCTGCTCGAGCCCCCGGTAATCGTGCTCCGCCTGCCCCGCCGCCCATCCCCTCAGACCTCTCCGGGGTGCCCAAAGAGTACCATGACCTTGCACTGGTTTTTAGTAAGGACCAGGCCCTTTCCTTACCCCCCCACCGCCCCTACGACTGCTCCATAGACCTCCTCCCGGACGCGCCTCTCCCCTCCAGTCACCTGTACAACCTGTCGCGCCCGGAGAGGGAGTCTATGGAGCAGTATATTAAGGACTCCCTTGAAGCCGGCATCATTCGCCCCTCCTCGTCCCCGTTGGGCGCCGGTTTTTTCTTTGTCGCTAAGAAAGATAACAGTCTCCGCCCTTGCATCGATTACCGGGGGCTCAACGCCATCACCGTCAAAAACAAGTATCCGCTGCCCCTCATGGACTCTGCCTTCGACTCCCTCTCCCGGTCCACCATTTTCACTAAATTAGATCTAAGGAACGCCTACCATCTGGTGCGGATCCGGGAGGGGGACGAGTGGAAAACCGCCTTTAACACCCCCCTCGGCCATTACGAATACCTCGTTATGCCCTTCGGACTCACCAACGCCCCCGCCATTTTCCAAGCCCTGATCAACGACGTCCTACGCGATTTCCTCCACCGTTTCGTTTTCGTCTACCTCGACGATATCCTGATCTTCTCCCGCGACGCGACCCAGCACACAGAACACGTTCGCCTCGTTCTGCAGCGGCTTCTGGAGAACAGGCTCTTCGTCAAGGCCGAGAAGTGTGAGTTTCACGTCCCCACCATCCAGTTCCTCGGGTTCATAATTGAAAAAGGGCGGCTCCGTGCCGACCCGTCCAAAATGCAGGCAGTCGCCGACTGGCCAACCCCAACCTCCGTTAAACAGCTGCAACGTTTCCTAGGGTTTGCTAACTTTTACCGCCGCTTCATCCGGAATTACAGCACCGTCGCCGCCCCCCTCACTCGCCTCACTTCCTCCTCAGTCCCCTTTACCTGGTCTCCAGAGGCCGCAGCAGCCTTCACCCGACTCAAAACCCTGTTCACCTCCGCCCCTGTCCTCATTAACCCCGACCCCTCCCTCCAGTTCGTGGTCGAGGTGGACGCCTCGGACGTGGGTGTCGGTGCTACCCTCTCCCAGCGCTCCCCGGGGGACAACAAGCTCCACCCCTGTGCCTTCTTCTCTCTCACTGCCACTGAGAGGAACTACTGCGTGGGAGACCGGGAGCTCCTGGCCATCAAATTGGCGTTGGAGGAGTGGAGGCACTGGCTGGAGGGGGCAGAACACCCATTCCTGGTATGGACGGATCACAAGAACCTCGCCTACATTCAAACCGCCAAAAGACTAAACTCCCGCCAAGCTCGATGGGCCCTGTTCTTCACCCGGTTCAATTTCACCCTCTCCTACCGGCCCGGATCCCGCAACACCAAACCCGATGCTCTCTCCCGGCTCCACTCCACCGACACCGCCCTCAACCCCCCCGACACCATTCTACCGCGCTCCTGTCTCGTCGCCTCCGTGGTCTGGGAAGTGGAGTCCACCGTACGCCGAGCCCAGTCCACCGATCCCGGGCCTGGCACCGGCCCCCAAAACCGCCTCTACGTCCCGTCTGGTGTGCGCTCCCAGGTCCTCCAGTGGGCGCACGCCTCCAAGTTCAGCTGCCACCCTGGGATGGCCCGCACCCTCTTTCTGCTCCGCCAACGGTTCTGGTGGCCCTCGATAGAGAGGGACTGTCGAGCCTTCGTGGCGGCTTGTGAGGTGTGCGCCCGCGCCAAACCCTCCCATCAACCGCCCGCCGGTCTGCTTCGCCCCCTCCCGGTCCCCGGCCGTCCCTGGTCCCATATCGCCCTTGACTTTGTCACTGGTCTCCCCAGCTCAAACGGATACACCACCATTCTCACTGTCGTTGACCGTTTTTCTAAGTCTGCACACTTCATTCCCCTACCCAAACTCCCCTCCTCTCTAGAAACTGCCCGCCTGCTTGTCGACCACGTCTTCCGCCTCCATGGAATCCCTCTGGACATCGTCTCGGACCGGGGCCCCCAGTTCACATCCCAGGTCTGGAAATCCTTCTGCCGTGCCTTTGGTTCCACTGCCAGTCTCTCTTCGGGCTATCACCCCCAAACCAACGGACAGACCGAGCGGGCCAATCAGGACCTGGGGGCGGCACTCAGATGTGTGGCGTACCGCAGCCCCACCTCCTGGAGTTCCTACATCCCCTGGATTGAGTACGCTCACAACTCCCAGGTCAGCGCTGCCACTGGTATGTCCCCCTTCATGTGCGCCTTGGGTTACCAGCCCCCCCTGTTCCCGTCCCTGGAGGAGGAGGTGGCCGTCCCCTCTGTGCAGGCCCACCTCAGGCGTTGCCGCCGGATCTGGAGGGAGGCCAGGGCCGCCCTTCTCCGCACCGCGGCCCGCAACCGCCAACTGGCAGACCGCCACCGGGCCCCTGCACCCACCTACCGGCCTGGGCAGCGAGTCTGGCTCTCCTCTAGGGACCTTCCCCTGCAGGTCCCTTCCAAGAAGCTCGGCCCCCGATTCATCGGCCCCTACCCCATTGAGGCCATCGTTAACCCCTCTGCAGTACGCCTAGCCCTCCCGTCCCACCTGAAAGTCCACCCCGTTTTCCACGTCTCAAGAATCAAGCCTGTCGCCACCAGCTCCCTCTCCGTACCAGTGGCAGCGCCTCCCCCTCCACGGATGATTGATGGTCACCCCGCCTACACGGTGCGCCGGCTCCTGGACGTGCGGCGTAGAGGTCGGGGATACCGCTACCTAGTGGACTGGGCCGGTTACGGCCCAGAGGAGCGCTCCTGGGTTCCCTCCAGCCAGATCTTGGACAAGTCCCTCCTGACTGACTTCTACAAGGCTCATCCTGACAAGCCGGGTGGGCCGCCTGGGGGCGTCCGTTGAGGGGGGGGCCCTGTTGTGGGGACAGCCCAGCTGACGGTGAGTGTCCTGGTTTTACCTTTTTTTTTCTCACTTTATTTCACCCATTGTTTTGCTCTGCCTGCCTCCCTGGTCTCCTCTTCTCTCCCTCGGCTCCTGAGCCCAGCCAACTACCTACACCTGCACCTCATCAGCCACCTCGTCAGCCTGCCACACCTGCCAGTAATCAACCTCATCCCAGCCTGTATTTCAATCCCGGTTCTCCACTCCATCCTCGCTTGATCGTCGTTGCTCCTTACCCGGTGCCACCTCTACGTCCAGGCTCTCATGTTCCTTGTTTTTTTCTCATCGTCCCCGCATTTTGTCGCTCCAGCCTCTAACCCTGTCTTTCTGTCTGTTTTCCCTCCCAGGTTCACTCACCCTCGTCATCCGTTCAGTCGGCTGGGCTCATCCTCCGGTCCTCACCTCTCGGGCTTCCTCCACGGCGCCCTCCCGGCTCCTCCCTGCTCCTCGCCTCACCACCCGTGCCTCGCCCGCTCCTTGGTCCTCCGTGCCCGCGTCCCCTGGCGTCCACCTCTCCTCCCTCACCTCTTCCTTAGCCCCCCCGTGAACCCTCAATAAAACCTCCTTCACTCTGAGTGCTGCGTTTGGGTCCTTACCGTCCCGTCTCCTAACATAGAGTTCACCATCTTAAATTCGTTGTGCACTGTAAGTTATCAGTGGAAAAGAGTTATATCAGGCTACTTGGTCGCTTAGTCAAGCAGAAGGTCCAAAGGAATTAGTCACAGCTGAATTTGTGTAAATTGATCAGGGCAAATTAGAAAAGCAAAATATTAATATATTATTACAAACATAGCCTAGTCAAGAAATGACTCCGTTAGAAATGTTTTAATAAGATAATGGACAGAAAACGTCAGAGTGAGTCACTTCATGATGGAGAGAGAGAGGGGTGGAGAGAGGGAGAGTGTGTCTCTCTCTCTGACTCACTCTGTTCTCGGATCGCTCAGCAGCTCTCTGCGTCTCTCTGTGAGTATTAACCTTTACCAAACATTATTATAGTTTCTATGGACATGCAGCCGCTGTGTTAGACTGTAATGAAACAGGTTCAGAGGGAGCAGTCCGCTGTCTCGGTTCGGCGGTGACACAGGATGGTTGTGTTAATCCATCAGATCCAGCAGCGCTGCCTCGCGCTGTTTTCTCCCGGTCTGAAGTTAACGGCTGCACCGGGAACTTTAACGCGCTGAAAGGGGCTTGAACACGTGAAGAAGTCCTGGCGGATCAGAGGAGTGGAGGGATCAAACTGGAACAGATTCACAGGGAATGTTGCTGTTTCCACATGACTCTTAAATTACTGTCTGAAGAAAAACTGTTACTAATGATAATTGTTTCAAACAGCAATATCAACGATTGTGTTTCTTAATAATGAGTTCTAGCCTGACATGGCAAATATTTCACAGGTAGGCTATATTGTAATGGATTATTGGATTATCATTATTGTTGGAGTAACATGTGAGCAGTACAGCTGGTGGAGATAGAGTTGATTTGAACTGTAGGACACACTGCTGGGTTGTTAAATGTACAACATTTCATCATATTTTACTAACTAATGATTTATGTTGTATGTAAAATCTATTAAAGTAACTGCAGCTGTTAAATACGTGGATTGGAGTAAAAAGTACATATATCTCCCTCTGAAGTGTGATGAAATAGAGGCAGAAAACAGCAGAAAATGGAAATGGTCAAGTAAGGTTCAGGTATCCTAGAACTAGACTGATAAACAGCCTGGGCGTTATGTGATCTCATATTAGTTTATTGCACCTATCAGAATTGGTGTATGTGTTAGCTGATAACAACAAATGTTGATATGTTGGAGGTCGTTTAGAAATTACATAGTTTGTCCACCAGAGAGCGCCATGCGTGGTGGTGGGTAACATGGCCTTGAAGTTTGTAAGATAGTTTTGCAATCACAATACTTATGGCCATATGAAAAACACTTTTTGGCGCAGGTGTATTCGGGTGTATGCAGCCAGCTCCTGTGTTGCGTCTGTGTGACCTGGAGGACTCACAGAGTGATGTTCAGCTGATCACCTCTTGCAGCTGGTGATTATCAGACTAACTTCAGCCTGGTGTTTGGCTGCTTGTGCTCTGCCAAAATGTTTTTGTTCATACATCCCCTCCTAAATGTGAGTGGTGAGCCATTTGTCTCTGCTAGTCCATAACAACTCAGAAGAGTTTCCATTCAGACACCGAATGTGCGATGGTGAATCAGAACCGCAAGCGTCTCGTGGTCGCTTTTGTCACTAGATGAAAGATTAGGTGGCCTTGTTATGTGAGGAAGACTCTCAGTGTTAAAGCATAGTTTCATTTTTTCTCAAAACAGTACTCACATGCTCATGTGTACACTGAAATAGTTTTTGCTCACTGCAGTTGTTTGCCATGTTCATACTGGCCACAAAGAGATCACATCTCAATTGAAGTGATAGGGGCCAAATCCAGTCCCCATTCTGTGTGAAAATGTATTTTGATTCAAAAGCTAACATGAGGCTTCAGTAGTCTGAGTCAGACAAATCATCTTCCAAATGTACTTCCATACAAAAGCACAAAGAGGGAGTTCACTTACAGTACACTGGAAGCTTTAAGAAAGATCTCTTTGCAGCCAATATGGGCCGGAGCTTTGATTACAGCAATCATTTCACTGTACCTAAAGGCATGTTAAGTGTTGTATTACCATATACTTGAAAAAGCTTTTGACCTGTTCTGTACTGTTACCAAATCACTTTGGAGTTGCTCTAACCCCTCCACAGCAGAGCCAGCAGCAATAATACTTTCCCCTTCGGCTATGTTGCTGCTGTACGTAGTTATGACATAAATATGTCAACATGTTGCAATATAGTTAATATCATGATATGACAAATTTTAAATCTATAATATTTCTAACATTAACATATTACCATGAACAATATGATATGGCACACATCTCTACATAAACAAATTTCATAAAAAAACAAAACGGATTCCAATTAAAATATATACCATTATCAGATTTTTAAACTGTTAAATATCAGTCGGGCTATATTATATACTATTATACTTAAGTACAGCACTTAAAGGCCTTGAAATCATATTTTCTCAGTCAGTCCAACCCTTATTATGAGCGGTACTGCATCAACACACAGTTTTCCTCCAGAAGGATTTGTGTATTTGAGTTGTTGTCTGTGCTCTTCTCACTGGTTTGAAGTGGGCAGTGCTCACTTGGAGAAAATTGATGATCAAAATGTGGGCTTGTTTGCTCATGTTGCCAGTCAATCAAACGTGATTAAACCACACCCACACAGTCACAGTGGAGCAGATTAGCTTGGGTGTGGACTATTAAACTCTAACTTTGACTTTCATTGTTACTCATTTACTCATGAACATTAAATGTTATAAATACTTAAAGGTAAAGTCTGGGGTTTCTTGATCACTGCTCGCGCTATGGAGCAATGGTTTTATGAGAGGATCCCTTGCATGATAAAATAAAAATATTCAAAATATTAGATTGCATATATTTTAGCTGGAAGGTGCAGTCACCACATTTGTTTGACCTCAAGGATACGCACAAGGAGATTTATGGCCAGGTACGTTTTCACCTACGAGGAATTTGTCTTGGTGGATTGGTGCTTAACAGTAGACTGAAACCTAAATATAGAAATAGAAAAATAAATGAAGTAAAGAGATCAAAAATGTATACAAAATAATACAAAAAATGCCAAGGAGTGTGCAAAAATTCACAATATGAGCAACGAAGAGTTAGTACAATGTGCACAGTTCAAAGTTGTGTGTTGATGTAACATGTGGGGTCAGGTGTGGTGCTAATGTGCTATATGCTACTGTAACATGTCGTGACACAGTGTGACAGGGTACCTTTAATATGTGAAAGAAATTTTTTTAAGTAAATGTGAGGAATTCCTTTCCACCACTGGATTTTATATTGATCACATATACTTGATACTGATGAACTCAGTGCTGAAAGCCTTCATTACTACTGATAATCTTAATGATAATAATATCAAATGTTTTGTTAGTCAGCACATATATTCACATCATATAGAAAAGTAAAATTATTATGTGGAATAAAGGCAACAATGACCAAAATGCTGCTGTAGCTCAGGTGGTAGAGTAGGTCAGTGTTTGGGGTTTGAGCCCCTGGTCCTCCTGTCCACAAAGTAGTGTGTCCTTTAGCAAAACACTGAACCCCAAATTTTCCTAGAGGTGTATATGTAGAAGAAATGTTGCTTTGGACAAAATTGTTGGATGTAATGTAAATAATATGTGTATGGTCACAGGAACCTCCATGTAATGTAGAAAAAATAGCCCTCAGTGAATGTTCCCTGACACTGGTTACTACATAAAACCATTGTGGGACCTTATTAGCACTGAATGGGAACTTCAAGGGTTTGTGGCAGAAATGTTTCCTGTTTAATTTAGTAATAGTATGAATGATAAATTAAATTTTTCCAGACCTTTCAACCAAGTCTCCTTCCCATTCAGTTAACATAATTAGGCCATTTGAAAGAAATAATTAAACTGATTGAGATAGAGAGAACTAACACAATGTATTATCCCGTTGCCTTCAATCTTACCTCTGCAATAACACCCAACATGTACAGAAAACACACACCTACACACGTTCATCGATAGCACCAGCAGTGCCGGCACCATCTCCTTAGTAATCTTTCAGTCCTCTTGGGCCTCCTCTTTCTCTCACAGACATGTTTGTGTTTTCTGCAGGTACCCTTTAATTCTTCCTCTGCATCTCTTTGGCTCCTCTTCCTCCCATCGTCCTGCCTTCATCCTCCAGCCCGCCGACGTCAGTGGAACGGTTCAATCCCCTCTGATATTCAGGTTAATCTGATTATGAAGATTTCCTCTGAGGCGCTTCTTCGTCAATGACGGCCAAGATGGAGACTCCTTTCTACCACGACGACTCCCCCTCTGTCCCCGGCTTCAGCCAGATCGCAGAATACGAGCGCTACCCGGGAAACAAGATGCTGATGAGTAAGAAGGCCATGTCGGGGACAGGTGGTCATCACTTCTCCAGCGGGGGTGCAGCAGGAGGGAGGGGCGGGAACCCCAACAACATGGTGCTCGGCGGCAACAGCTCCCTGATGACATCAGCTGCTCCCTCGGCGGACATGAACCTGCTGAAGCTGGCATCCCCTGACCTGGAGCACCTGATCATCCAATCCAACCAGGGACTGGTCACCACCAGCCCCGTGTCCAACTCCACCAACCCCTTCATCTACCGTAACCAGGCCACCAACGAGCAAGAAGGATTTGCTGATGGCTTTGTCAAAGCGCTCGCTGACCTTCACAAGCAGAACCAGCTGGTTGGGGGCCCCATGTCCCCGTCCTCATCCTCCAGTGTCTCTCTGCAAGCATCCTACCAGAGGAACCTGATGTCTGGCGGGGACATGCCCGTGTACACCAACCTCAACAGCTACAACCCGGGCCAGATGGCGTACTCTGGAGCGCAGATGGCATACGGTAGCAGCGCAGGACACAGTGGCAGCGGAGCCCCTCAACCCCACGCTCGAGGCCTGGACGCCCCTCAGACCGTCCCTGAGGTGCCTCACCTGCCGGGCGACCCCACATCCCCGCCCTCCCTCTCCCCGATCGACCTGGAGACGCAGGAGCGAATCAAAGCAGAACGCAAGAAGCTCCGCAACCGCATCGCCGCGTCCAAGTGCCGCAAGCGGAAGCTGGAGCGCATCTCGAGGCTGGAGGAGAAGGTGAAGGTCCTGAAGAACCAGAACTCGGACCTGGCCTCCACCGCTGCCATGCTGCGGGAGCAGGTCGCTCAGCTCAAACAGAAGGTCATGAGTCACGTCACCAATGGCTGCCAGATTGCCGTCAGCTCTGCCACCAACAAGTCCGGGGGAGGGGGAGGCACCGCAGGCACCGGCAGCAAGGACTCCAGCTGCTGAGGAGGCAGAACAATAAGACACAGAGGGTGTGAAAATAAGCCGAGAGACAGAGGGTTTACTATTATGATTTTTGGCATTTTGCTCACTCTCTCGGTCAGAGCGAGGTGTCAGCGAAGCCTCAACGGGACAGGTGGATGCTCAACGGGATTAATGTAGCCCCGTAAACCACTGTCAGTCATCCAGCCAGAGGCGGCAGAGCATAGAGGAAGCGGGGACAAATCCCTGATGTGAGAAATTCAAATTTGGATGATTTGAATTTTGATGATGAAGATGAAGGATGAAGAGATGGTGACTGATAACTGACTGTTAAGAAGCAGGGATGGACACTCGTGTGTGCACAGACAGATTTTATTTAGACATTTATTTAACAGGTGAAATACATTTACAGACAGATTTCCAAGTTCCCAGTACAAAAGGTTTTCTACAGTTTAAACAGCTCATGACAATATTCTTTATTTTCAGATGTCATTACAGCTCAGTACATAAACTGTATTGGAAATAGTGGAAATCATCATCCACCACTGAGTTTTTCATTTAAAGTAAAAACATGTTTTGACATGTTAATGACATGTTAAAATGACATTTTTACATTGCGAAAGGTATCTTTTTGAAATAGAGTTAAGAAGATTGCTCATAAAAGGTAATTGCAATACTTCAGTGATATAATTTATGTGGAAAACAGTGTCAAGTAATCAGAATACTTTTAATAACAGTATGAATTTTCAGAGAGACAAAGTGTCTGAAATTTTTCCAAAATCCAGTGACCGCCTCACTTAAAATGGCAGATGTTGGAGTTTGTTTTGTAATCTGATTACTGCAATCACTGTAAATCTTTTTCTTTCCTTTTTTTTACAATCCAGCTGTGTGTTAACACAGCAAAAAGGGAAACATCTTCACTTTGATGACTCTGTTCACTTTATCTCTTCTTGGTAGCTGTGATAGATTTATGTAATCTGATTACTGCAACCTCTTTACATGTCTGCAACTAAAGCTCACCTGGGGTTGGCAATAATCCAGTGACTGTTTACATTTTTTAAAACTGTGTTTGTGTGTTTTCTGTTTGTGGCTGCTGGAAGTTAAAAACCTTTAAAGCTACGTGTTGATGAGGAAACAGAGGCTGAAGTTTTAGCGTTCAGTTTTTCCGGTTGACAGGCTGTTTTTTTTATTCAGCTGGTAGAAACTTTTCTTACTATCTCTGGATCCTTCAGAATCAAGACTTTGAAATGTTCAGTTTAAGATCTGCCTGTCTGAATATGGTTTGGAGTTTGGAAACTGACGTGTTCTGACGTATTTGTTTCAGTCCAAATTAATGAGAGTTTTATTCTCTCAGTTTTAAAATCTAGTGAATTTTTTTAACCGTTTAGCCGTATCATTCCTGATGTGGCAAAAGAATTTCACTTTCAACTGCACATTTAAAAAAAATACTGTAGTCAAGTCAAAGTATAGTTAAAGTGTATTTGACTGATTGTTGACATTTATATATTCTACAGCAGCAGAAATATTGAACATAGAAGAAAAATGTCAGATGAGGTTTTTCTTATCTCCTTTATTCTCATTTTTAACAATATTGTGCAAATAAGATGTGACTTTTGAAAAATATTTATTGTTTTGAGAAGTATAATGTTACTAATATACCTATTACTACTATTACTTTACCTTTTCTACACAGTAAAAAGTATAATTTCATAAATAATATGGCTTGTTTGTTTGCAGGTGTGTATGGAAGCCCATTTCTGCCAGGGAAAGAGAAAAAACGATGACATTTTTGGAATGATTAAAATAAAAATACTAATAATCTTATGTCTTATAATTTGACCCAACAACAACAATAACAACTTAAAAAGTCAAACATTTAAACATGTATTAACACATTTTAATCCTGTGTCACAGAGTTTTTATTTACTACCTCTTGGTCTATTTTTGCATTCTTAACATTTTCCCCCTGGCAGTAATGGGCTTCCACAGGTTAAAGCCTTTCTGAAAGGCCAAAAAATATCTGCTGCTGGTTCAGGTGTACAGAAAAGGAAGTTGATTTTGTTTATGCAAAAATGATCTCAGGGGAATATCAAATGTGTTCCACCTGCTTTGGTTAGAAAACCCCTTTAAGACTCAATTTCAAGTTAAATCACTTGATAAATTGGATATATTTTTACAGTGTAAAAGAGAGCAAAAAAAATAAAACACACAGCCAGCATAGAAAAGGATCCTGAAGTAGAAGGCCCAACCTATAATCCCAAATGTAAACAAAATGTGCTCCTACAAAACATAATGCACTCTGGATTGTGTACATAGATATGAAAATAAAATTTGCTGCGGTCCTGAGGTCTTTGAGGTGGTTGTGGAGGGCCTTGAGGGGTTTCCTGAGGTCCATGGTGGAGTGCCAGAGGTCCTTTAGTGGCTTCCTGAGGTCTTAAGCAGGGTAGCAGAGGTCCATAGGGAGGTTTAATAGGGCCTTCCTTCAGGGTCTTCCTGAGATCCCTGAAGAGGTTGTACAGGTACTTGAGTGGGATTCTGATGTCCTGGAGAGGGTATAGAGGTCCTTGAGTAGGTTCCTGAGGTCCTTGAAGAGGTTGAAGAGGTCAGTGGGTGAGCTGATCTCTAACGGAGACTGTTTAGAAGACCATAAGTTCAGTGATTAATGATGACCTGAACTAAATGTCCACATTTTAACAGGTACCTGCCGGCCAATTGAGGGAGCAGGATTTTATACTGCAGTGGTATATTTAATACTCAGTCTGTTACTTTTGAGAGTGTGTTATTGGTTGATAACTGTACATTTGATTTATATGGTGAAAAAAATACAGATTGGGCCTTTACTATCTTGCAGTGGCAAATTATACTCAACAAATTACAAAGTAAATATACTGTTGTTAATGCAGTGTGTTGACATGTTCAACCATGAAGCTAATGATTCCTTTCTATTTTTGGACTCTGTTTTGTACTGACTTTACTGTCCAGTCAGCATGTCTGTGTCATGTTACAGTTTGTAAGCAGTAACTGTCAGACAAAAAAAACATATAACTGCAAAGAAAGAAAATAAATTAGAAACATTTGTTAGCAACAAAAAGAGTTTAAAGTGAACATTAATACTCAAACATGAAAAAACTATTTCAGTTGCAGTTACATGTTTTCTGTTTAACAGATTAGACATTTTCAAATCTAACTGTTGGTGATCCTCGAGCAAAAAATTATTTTTTTGAACTTGAATGAGGCTTTTGACGTCTCTAATGATTCTATTTTTGTACAAATGTATAAAAAATGTTATTAATATTCTGAAATGATGTGTGTACGAGCTATCTGATCAAACACTTTGTCTCTATTTATTATGAATATCCATTTAGTTATACATAAGTGTTTATTTCCTTCTGCTGTGTTGAGATGTTTGTGTCAATATATCAGTGATGAAAAATTCATCTGCTGCAGGTTTGCTGTTTGTAAATTCAGAGTTGGAGGAGTGACTTTTCCACGTGACAATGGTGACATGTTGAATGAAGTGCACTTTCCTAAACTCATTAGCATGGTCTCAAACATTTCACATAAAGGATGAATTCCAAAAATCAAAATGTAAAGTCAGTGTTAAAACTGCCAAGATTTTAGGTGAAATAGATGTCGGTTTCATTTTGAGAAATTTGGGGACTGTTTTTGCAGAGTATGTCATTTGCTTACTTATTAGGAAGTTTCCTAGTTTTGTTTTTACTGTGAAATAAGACACTTGACAGAACCAGATGAGTGAATTTGGATGAAATCCTCTAACCTGAAGATCCCCATCTGGGTATTTATATTTTTATGAGAAGCAATATTATTGTAATTACAGTAAAATGCTAATATGAAAAACGTGTGTGGGCCAATAAACATTCCATCCATGTGTCTTACAAATACATGGAATTAACCAAGCGGGAACCTCTGGGTCTGTAAAGTGAAGCCAATACAGAAGTGCCTTAAATCTGCATTCTTTAATGGCCAACTGGGGGCGACTCCACTGGTTGCAAAAAGAAGTGTGATTCCACTAGAAATAATGACAAAATGACCCTACTTCTCACCTGATTTATTTCTTCAGTAAACACTTGAACTAATGAGTTTATGATCTCAGTCGCTAGTTTCGTCTTCTTCAACACAGAATGATGTTCATTTTTTTTAGTTTGGTTTATTACTTTATTTGACAGGGACATATTAATTACATTTCTGTAAATTAAAACACACTTTTATTGGCTGGAGTACAAGTAGCTAGTAGTGTACAGGTTGCACATAGAAAGACAGTGAATTTAGTTTTACAATTATAGAGAACAGAAAATAATGCTGAGTGTAAATTAATGAAATTGTAAAACATTTTATTTACAGTACCTATACAGCTTTACATTAGTATGTATTTGTTTAATTTGTTAATCTAACTAGAGGTAATTGTTTTAGCCTTGTTGTTCACATGGACACAGAAAGAGAAAGAGAGAATATGTACTTTTCACTGTGGAAAGGCACGTGAACATGGCAACAGAGCATGCTGCAGTCTACACCTGCGGCTAGCTAGCACCCACAGAAGTGTTTAGTCCCTAAACAGTCATCATATGGGAAAATATTACATTACTTAACATTGTTATGTAATAATGCGTGTTGTTTCTTTCCTTCATCAAACTTCCTCTTTTTTCAGTTCCTGATGGGTATTTTCTTTTAGGGGGAGGGGCAAGTACCAATTTATTGTAGATGCTTAACTTAGGGTTGCCTGGTCAGACAATCAGTTAATTCAGCAAACGATGCACGAGTTAGTTGGCTTAGGAAGGACTAGCTCTGCCTGGCTTTATGCACAGGGGCATTGTCATGTTAAAACAGGAAAGGACTTTGCCCAAACTGTTGCCACAAAGTTGGGAGCTCACTATTGGCCAAATCAGGGAACAGGGAACAGATTCAGACTGGGTTGTCCATATATATAGTGAAATAGTGCATCTATCTATTCATTCTCTGAGCCTTTTACTTGTTTTACTCATCAATGAGTCATCAGGATGAAGTTATTTCTCTGTCAGTGAATCAGAGTAGCAGAACAATTTAAATATATACAGTACATATAAATATATATTACATATACATATGCTCATATAATTACTAACACTAAATATGATGATTACCTTCTATATTGACTTCATTATAGTAATTTATATATTTTTTTAATAGCATATTAGTTAGGAGACCCTGAAGTGAAACAATATTTGATCAGATGGTGACACACTGACGAGGCCCTTGTGTATCAGTCAGTTACTCATTTGGGGATTTTTTAGAAATGTCTCTAACAGAAGTCTTCATTCAAAAACACAGATTCTGTTTATGTGCCTTTTGACAATATTACTTCCTCCATAAATTTAACTCTTGCAAATACATGCTTTTAAGGATTTGGGGCATAAATAAACTCACAATTTCAAAGAATCAATCATAACCGAAATCTCAGAATGCTGTTGGACATAACAGAGGCCCAACAGGGGAAGGTTTGGACTCATTGTTGTTGAGGATGGAGCCACACTGAGTCACCTATCTTGATGACAGTATTTATGGAAATCCTTCAATGACATATCAGTCACACTGTTATCAGTCAAACACACAGGTCAGTCCAGACAACCTCTGGTTACGCAGGACTACACTCTTCAGTGAAACCTTCAATCAGATGATATAGACCTCCACGGAGGTTGCACAGTCGAGTTGCTTTGAAATAGAAAATAATCAGCATTTTGTTTTGTGAATTATCTCATGACCACTGAGTTATGGACATTTTTAACTCATCATCAAATTTAGCAGGATGAGGTTTGATTTGGTTTTAATTAGCAATTACCTGCACCGGGACCTAAGTACACAATGTGAATAACAAATTACAATAAAATATCCTTATCCAACAGAAAATATAAAAACATAAAAAATAAATGTTTTTTTATTTCTATATTAATTAACAATGGATGAAATGACTATATGCCAGGTCAACTAAATTTTATTATAAAGCCTAATATCACAAATCACTAAAAGAGGCTTTTCAGTCTGTACAGACAGACAGGACATAGAAGTAGAAGCAAAAGAGTAAGTAATTACCTTATGGAAGATCAGGATGAAAAAAATTATAGATTGAATGTGACATTTATGAGGAATGGATCCGGGAGAATGTCAAACAACTTCAGGTGTCGCCAAAAAGACCTGTGCCACACAACCTATGGAAAAGTGCATGACTGCAATTTGGTCAAGAAATGAAGAGAGAAAAACAGAGGGGCAAGAACAGAGCCATGAGGTACTCGCTATTTTATATCCGAAAGGTTTCATGTCGGGTTCAGGTAAGTTCTTCACATTAATAACCATGCAAACTTGCACAAAGTCTCCAACTTCTCTTAAATTAACATCATGTGTTCAGCTCAGTGTTTGTTTTAATGAAGAATTAATCTGGATTTAAGGGAAATATTGTGGACATTTAAGTGAAAGAATGATGTGTTTAGGTTGGTAATGATGCTGATTTAGAGCAAATATGAAGTCTAAAAGAGTAACAAGTAATCCAACTAGCTGATCAGCTCACGTTTGACTTTTCATTTTGTACTGACTTCAGACTAACAGGTTTTTTTTGTGTGTTGAACCATTTGGTAGAAAACGTTGTGTTGCTGTTTTTCCATATTCTGCTCCAGATGGAGTGACCCACTTACTGAGAGAGGCTGTGTGCCATTTCTGGTGACTAATACCCCCTCCACCCACACCTCAACACACACACACACACACGTGCACAAACACGCACACACACAAAGCTGTATTGGTGTGTTTGCCGTCTTGTTTCTGTGTTTCTGCTCTCTGATGATTCTGTTTGTTAAAAATAAAGATGTTATGTGAATAAATGAATGTTGACAGTGAACGTCAGCGCCTGTAGTTTTACATGTTTTCAGCCCAGAAATCTTCAGCCCAACACTCACTGCTGCTTCATGCCATTTTCTAGAAAAAAGGGTCATCTAATTTTTTCACCAAACCTTTCTTTTTTAAATAAAAAAATTGTCTGAAAAATAAGTCTCATTGTCAGACTGAACATCTTTTTATCTTATTTGACTATATTATAGGCCGGCACAGTGGCCCAGTGTATAGCGCTGTGGCCTCACAGCAAGAAGGTCGCAGGTTCAAACTCCCCTCTCTGTGTGGAGTTTGCATGTTCTCCCCGGGGTTCTCTCCAGGGGCTCTGGCTTCCTCTCACCGTCCAAAGAAATGCTAAATTGTCCTTAGGTGGGAGTGGTTGTTGTCTATGTGACCCTGCGATGGACTGGCGACCTGTCCAGGGTGTACCCCGCCTTTTGCCCGATGTCAGCTGGGATTGGCTCGCGACCCTGTACGCAGGATAAGCGGTTGACAATGGAAGGATAGATGACTATATTATTCAGTTAAGAGATCATGTTCATGCTATATGGAAGCAAATTATGGCCATACATTATTTGAAATGTATACTTAACAGCATTGTTGATTTTATATAAACTGCATTTGAACTAAAAACTATATTTGTGTGTATTTGTGAATGTCTTCAGGGGTTGGAGTGGTCGAAAGACTAGAGTAAGTGTAGTCCATTTAATTATTTTACTTTGAACATCATGTATCTGACATCAAATACTCCAAGTTCTCTTTGGAATTTTCAGTAGTCAATTTCAAGTTGTGTTAATTCAAAATTATTATTGCCAATATATGATATCTACAAATTAGGGTTCACAAATACAGATAAATTCTGGTTCCAAAATATTCAAAAACTATATTGTTTAATGAAGTAAGCTCAGTTCAGATCTAAAAATTCAAGTCAAGTCAAAAATCTGGTTACTCATAGTGTCTTGGTCAAATTCTGGTCAGTCTTAGCTCGTTGATTTTTGTGTTGTTTTTAACTATGACGTGCCAAGGGACTGTAGATGTGAATTAGCTTGAAGTGATAATCTCGTACCGTGCATCAAATGGAAATGTTTGTTTTACTCTACACTGTCCTTTTTAAATATGATGAGATGATGTGATAAATGAACGTGCTTTTTGTTGTTGCAAGGACTTGACGACATCAGCAGTAAGTAATCACAGTTTTTAAGAAGCTACTCTTCTGATTCTGATGAACTGTTGCAGTTAGAAATCAGGAATGTGCTGCTGCCAAACTACTACACTGTGTTTTGGGGTGAAGAAGAAGTAGAGCTCAGGAACAGATGTAAATCAGATTAATGTCAACCTCTTTGTTTGAAGCTGGCTTGAGGTCAGACACCAACTCTGAGCCCTGCCCCCCCACCTGGAGGGTCCAGTCAGGCATCTTCTTTCACTCCTTCTTTCTGCCTCATTAAATATTCATGAGACCCACTTGAGGCGTTGCAGAGCCCCCCTTCTGCCCTGAACCGTAATGTCAAACTGAGGCGATGATGGTTTCCTTGATGTGAACTAGTCTCTGGGGGAGAAATGATACAACATGGTGGACGTCAGTGAGGAACTGATGGAAAGAGGAGATCTAACTGTCTGACAGCAGCTGACTGACAGGGTCTGCTCCACCTCCTCTGTCAAAACAAATAGTGTCATCGCCTAAGCTGTCTGACCAAATCCAGGGTCTGTTGGCTCCAGAACTCTGATCCTGGATACAGAGGCTCCTCCCACCTTTTTTCATACCATTGTTTCTGATGTACTGCTGGTACAGTATTTGCCCAGTACAGCACACAGATTATAATATACATTTATGCTGAATATAAATTATACTTCCCACTTAAAGAACTACACATTTGTAGCATGATCAATGCGCATGCTGATGCAACTCCACTTGCCAATATCCCTTGATTTGGACTATATTAAGGACTCCTAAGGCTAAAAGACACTGAGAATAGAGAAACGGCTTTTTGTATTAACTATATGGTATGTTTAAGTAACAAAATAAGAAGTAAGTGAAACATGACGTTGTCATGCTGATTCTGACAAAGAAAAATAAAAACAAATCATAATAACAAAATAACAAAAGTACATATAACATTAACAACTATTAATTATAATTGTTATCTTATTGCCGTCTATGAGCCTGTCAAATACTGTTTCATATAGATATGTGAAGTGTCTGTTGTCTTCCAGCAACGTTAGCCTCGAATATACTCTGGAGCGGATGTGGACACGGACAGCTGCGGACTACTTCTGTTTATACTACTTTCTGGAGTCAGCTTGGCGGACACGTTCCACACATGCACAGTGGATCGGTTGGTACCCTGGTAGCGCTAGTCGCCGCACGTACCCCCTCTGATGACGATTGTTTCATCACGCGGAACCTCGCGTACTCGCGAAAGTATTATCCTTGCCTGAGTAGGACAAGGTTTTAAACATGGAAGCATTAGACACGTAGTAAACTTTATTGATTCTTTAGTAATCACAACCAAGCCAAGCAGTTGTAAAGAAAACCTCATCATCCTGCTGAAGTGTGCATTGCATTAAGGTGATTTCACTGGTCAGAATTAGCCCACTGTATCTTATTCATCATTCTCTATTTCAGAGCTGTTCAAACTGTTCATATTTTATATTGTATATACTGTATACCAAATCCACCTACCTCAAGTACATAACACCTGCACATAATACTTATTTATTCCAGCATCCTTTGCACTACACTCCATCACACTATGTACATGCACATGTATGCTTGTGTTACAGGTACCGGGCAGCGGCACCCATAGGCAGCTATATGTGTCCTGAAATACAGGAAAAAGGGTGAGAGAGAGAGACGTGGTGTTTCCTCGCTGAAATCGCCACAGTTATTTATTCATTTACATTTCCTTTATACCATACCAGTATTTATCAGTACTGTACATGTCCTGTCTTCTTGGACACATTTTTCATGCTAATACCATAACATGCAATAAAAGTCCAAACCCAAAATTATACACATTTTACACCATTTCCATATTTGTCTGTCCAAATACTTTTGGCTATTACTGCAGTGCAAAATAAACTGATACACTGACGCCATGAAATATGACACTGATTCGCTGACAGTATAACAGCATTCACCACTAAAACATATAAAAATGTGTACAATTACAGCATTTTCAATAGTTTTAAACATAACACCATTCCAAAATATTCCAACATGCTACATCATTTATGGAGCCAGCCAGTATATTACTCTAAGCCCAGAAAAGTGGAGACGTGTGGCCCACGCTAGCATCTTACACTAACATGCTATGAACAGAGTAAACCGTGTCGCTATGGTTAACATATTCTCGGCGGGCCTCATGTGAAACCATATCTCCAAAACCTGCTCATTTTACTCTTATACTTTAACTCAACTTATGTCTCAGCATTCACTAACAAACTACAGTGATGTTTTAACACATTACTAACCTGTAATACAAGAAAAAGGGTGAGACAGAGAGATGTGGCGTTTCCTCGCTGAAATCGTCTCGGGTTACGTATGTAACCCTGGTTCCCCGAGAAGGGGAACGAGACACTGCGTCGGTTACGACACTATGGGAACGCCTCTAGGCGTAGCAGGTCTGAACGTGAATGAAATCACTCCAATCCTATTGGCTTGTTACTAGAACGGTAAGGTGTGACGGAATAACCGGAGGAGTATAAAGCACACCTGTACACACTCATCATTAGCTTAAACTATGAAGCAGGCACTTCAGGCGGGGAGAGAGGTGCGGCGGGCCGACCCCGTCTTGTTCCCCTTCTCGGGGAACCAGGGTTACATTCGTAACACGAGACGTTCCCCTTCGAGGGAACTCAAACTGCGTCGGTTACGACACTATGGGAACGAGATACCCACTAAACCGTGCCGAAAACCCCGCCTGCCCCTGTGTGCAATAAAGTGGCACGACTAAGAGGAGAGCGCACAAGTGGCAGGTGCCGAAGGAAGGTCAAGACTGTAAAACCGAATGAATGTGTGCGGAGGCCAATAGGATTGGAGTGATTTCATTCACGTTCAGACCTGCTACGCCTAGAGGCGTTCCCATAGTGTCGTAACCGACGCAGTTCGAGTTCCCTCGAAGGGGAACTCCGCAGTTATTGAGGGAACAGCGGAGCATGCGCTCTTGATCATGGTCCCTGAGGGTAAACCACAGTCTCACACTGCCACCTACTGCCGGGAGGCTGCTACAGCAGGCCAACCATTCACACTTGTAAACCATTTTACTTGTTTTAAACCACATAAAATCTTTTTCAAATAAAGGAAATAAAATACAGACATCAGCTTAAATGATTTAACACCATAAAATCAAATACAATGTGATCACACTCTAGTGTACACCTGTATATCACATCCACCTCCAACATGTTCATAATAATAATAACAATTATAATTATAATAAGAATTTACTCCTGCATCCTTTGCCCTGTGCTCATTGCACTATTGTCTCAATCTGCCTGTTTTGTTTTGTTTATAGTGTGTATATATGTGTTCTCTATACTGTAGTCTGTGTTTGATTTTATTACTGTATTATTGTGTTATTGTATTATTGTGTAAGTAACACATCGTGAGCATTGTACAATCAAATCAAATATGAGTCAAATTCCTCGTATGTGTACACATACCTGGCAATAAAGCTGATTCTGATTCTGATCTTGTGTTTCCACAAATTAAGACATCTTGCTAGTCATCATTCAGTCACCACTGTCTGTTGCTGTAGCCTATAAAGTGATTCATTCACGCATTTATTAATTGTCCGTCACTGTTTCAATACCATTTATTGACGGTTGTCTTCAGTAGAAGTGTTAGTATGTGTGTAGTTTGTTTATTGTTTGTTTGTCTAGTTAGTAGTACAGTAATTATTATATTAACGAAGAACCTGATAATGTGATATACACTGTATTCCAAG